CGCGAATGGCGTCTCGCACGGCCCACCGCGTTGAGGAGTGGCGTGGCTAGCGCGAGCGGCGCCGCGCTCCGACGGCGCAGCCGATGCGCCCAGGAGCCGCGGGCACCGGCGCGGCCGCGGCCGATTTTCTGAAGGACGAGGGCAGCCGCGACGTAGGTCGAGCGCTTCCCGCATCCCTCGCCGCTAGCCGGGCACTTAGCTCGGTGCGACGATCTTCGACGAGCTGGTTGAGCGTCCGGTCCGGGATTCGTGGAGGAACATCGGCAGCATCAGCGGAGAGAGGCATGACGGTTGACCAAGGGGGCCGAGGCTGTGGTGCTGCGGGCGCCTCGGGCGCCGCGGGCGTACAGCTTCGTTCCGGCGGTATGTGAGCCTGATCGTCGTCACTGTGTGCCTTTCGAGCCGAAGCTAGAGGCAGGTCTGAGGCCGAAGGCGAGGGCGTAGGAGATCCGAGAGGCGGAGAGGCCGGCTGCGGCGCTTCAGGCACGATGGCGCTATCGTCTGCGGCCGCTCCTACTGCATCCACGAGCGCTGGTTCAGCCGCGACGAGCTCAGAAGACGAGCTCAGCAGCAGTGGTGTGTCTTTAGCTGCCTTGGCCCGCGCTGCTTGCGTTGAAGCTCTCCCCGTCGCGGCATGGTGCTCATGTCGAGAGGATGGGCGACGGGCAAAGGACGACAGGCGGAGGGGCAGGTCCTCGTCCGAGCTGGAAGCAAGAGCCGCCGCGATGCGTGCATCCTCGTCGCTATAGTCTCCAAGCTTGCGCTTGGACGGAACGGCTGCCGGACCGCGACTTCGCTTGTCTGTTGCGCCCTGTTGCTGTTCCTGTTCCATGCGGTTGAGACGGTCGATTTTGTCGAGCAGTCCGAGGGCGCTTCGCTCTACCTCGGCCGCTGTGCGACGCTTGGCTGGCGGTGTGCGTGCGTTCGGCGTCGAGGCGGCGGTCTGGGTGGCTGAGGAGGTCTGCGCTGGGGACGGGCCTGTCTTGGCCGACAAGGTGCGCTTTGGTGGCTTTGGCATCCCCTCTCGACAACAGAGGTGGCGACACGAGCCCTTGCACGAGTGTCGGCAGCTGTCGCGGGCAGTAGAAGCGTCGGAAGGCAGGCCCTAGGATGACTTGAGCGCCCGGCTGTGCTCCACCCAGGGCGAAGAGCGACATTCAGGCTGAACACCAACTCACCGGTAGTTGCCATTCGCCAGTCGCTCCGGCAGCTCTTCCGATTCTACCGACATTTTCGTTCCGGCCCTCACCGGCGTGGTCGAAGTAGCTTTACCTGTGCGGCCGCCCTCGTCAAACAGGTCTACATCGTCGAGGCGAAAGTCGGTATCGGCGTCGAGACCCTCAAGGAGCTGTTCGTTCTGTCGGGTGGAGGCCGAGGTCGAAGATGCAGGATGTTCAGCTCGTGGTCCGCATCCACGGCCAGACCGGCGGCTTCCGGCCAAGGGGCCGCAGCGTACCCACCTCCCACTGCTGATCTGGATCGACGACGCCAAAACGCGAGACGCGAGGCGCGGGAAAGGCAGAGTCCGGCAAATCAGGCCGCAGCTCGGCACGGACCAAGGATCCGGCCACCTCGTCGCTGCCGGCGAGCACGACCACCTTCTGACCTCGTCGATTCAGTCGGCACGACACGGTCAGGCTTCGGGGTTCGGACAGCTTGCTGATGGGAAGTCGGCTGAAGTTGCAGAGGTCTAGGTCCGACGAGAGCGTCAACACGCAGACGTAGATGGGCAGACCAGAGGTGCGGCTCCGCTTGCTGACCGCGGCGTAGTCTCGCAGCCCGACGGTGATGGCGACGTTGACCACAACCGAGGGCCGGCTATCGGCGTCGCCGTCGATGTCGTCGTCCAGGGGTGCCGGTGCCGATGCCGTCTGTGCCTTCTGGCACTCGACGACGCTCAGGTCGAAGCGCGGAAGGCTGCGTGCGGATTGGATCACCTTGGACCCAAAGGGCGGGTTGCGGTTGAGCAGCAGTTCGATGTCGTGAGGCGCCGCATCGGCAATCTGGGCCAACGTGCCGAGCCCGCCAGCGGCGAGCGCCTTGATCGAGCGCTCGCCCACTCCCTCAAGCTGGCGGAGCACCGCCGGAGAGGCGTCCCAGGCCTTGCCGCAGAGCGACCGCAGCAGCTCGAAAGTCGCCTTGGCCATGGCGCCATCGCTTCGATCGAGGGCGAGGTCCAGCATCGCCTTGCAGATGCGTGGGGCGTGTCGAAAGATGGCGCCGATTTCGGCAAAGGGGCTGAAACTGGTCGCCCCCGAGGTGGCGGCTGACTGGAGGTGCGGCTGTATGTTGATGCCAGCCAGCGTGGTTTGGATCAGGATCGAGACTTTGTCGGCGACGCTGCCAACGGCCTTGGGAGGGAAGCGTATCTCCGGCAGCACGCGGAGCGCTTGAAGGAAGGGCTTCTCCACCTGACGGATACGCAGGTCACTAAACTCGTCGGCGCACGACAGCGTCTCGAGGATGCGCGGCAGGCTGGGCCGGGGCTCAATCTCGAGCAGACGCAGCATGGTCGCGTACGACAAAAAGTAGCGCGACATGATGGCGCCCGCTTCAGTGGCCTCGAGGCGTGCCGAGTCCGGACCATGGCGCTGGACGAGGCGGTGGTCGCCAAGGAGTCGGACGGCGTCGCCACAGACCCGAGAGATGAGGTTGTCGACCTCCCCGGCGTCGGTCGCCTTGCGACGCAGGCGGACCGCGTAGAACGTCGTCCGGAGCCACCGCTCCACCTCACCGACGTCGCGGGTGCTGCCCAGTCCGATCTCGGCGTTGATGTGCTCGATCAGGCCGTCTCCCAACGTCGATTCGATGTCACGGCCGCCGCCGACGAGATCCTCAAAGCGCTGCCGTTGGGGATTCTCGCACATGATGACGGCGACGCCGTCGCGATCGAACTGGGGCCGTCCCGCCCGGCCGATCATCTGAATCACATCAAGATCGCCCAGCTCGGTCCACTGATTGCCCGCATACTGGCGGGTGCCGCGAACGACGACACAGTAGGCCGGCAGATTGACGCCCGTGGCCAGCGTCGAGGTGCTGCAGAGCACTCGGATCTCTTCGGACAGGAATCGTCGCTCGACCTCCTTGCGGTCTTCGTACGAGAGGCCAGCGTGATGGAAGGCGATCCCTAGCGACGCCAAGCGGTCAAGCGCGGCATCTGCGAAGGCGGCCTTCGGTGCACGCGAAGTGGGCCGAGGCTTCGGCCATGGCAAGCCGGCCGGAGCCCCATCCCTGAGCTCGCCTTCAGTCTTGCGGTAGCGTTCGGCGATGATCTCGGCCGCCTGTGCAGTCGCCTTTCTGGTCGAGACGAAGACGAGCGACGGGCGTCCCCTGCTATGGCGCAGGATCAGATCGTACAGCCTGCCGTCAGGGTTGCGCAAGCAGGCGGATGGGAGGCTGCGAGCCGAGTCAGCCAATGTCCAGGCTGCGGAACAGGCGCAAATTCGCTGGGCCGCCGCACTTGTGATTGAGCGAGTTCTGGAAGCTGAACTCGTCCTTGCCGGGTGGATAGCTGTAGACAAACTGGCGTAGGGTCGGAAGGGCAAGCAGTCGCGAAGCGGGAGGTGAGCAGGCTAGCGTCGCAGAGCGGACGGAAGGTTTCTCGCGGGACTCTTCAGCATGCAATTCGCTCGGCACCTTTTGCAGCGGGCACGGGCGAAACTCTTCGCCGAACTTGAACGTCTTGGCCGCCGGGGGATTGGCTGCGGAATTGGAGCTGTCCCCTGGCCGACCACCGATCCAGGCGGCGACATCGTCGAGATTCGGGATGCTGAGAGGAATGTCCGGGCTTGCGAGGCTCAGTGATCGTTCGCCCCATCGTTGTCCTCGTATCACGGAAACGGCGAGAGTCCTCACGTTGCAGATACGGCGACGAAGCGGATATGAGGGGCATACGTCTTTGTTCGAGATACGATGACCTCGACTCGAGGCCCTGTAGCCCAAAAAAAAAAAAAAAAAAAAGGGGGGACGACGGACGCGGGAGATGCGGCGGCGTCAGGAAGCATTGACCTATGTCGACGTCTACGTCTACGTCTACGTCTAGAGGCCGCCCGGCACTCACCTCTGACCGGTTCGTTGAGGATGTGCACCTCATCGAGCAGCATCACCTGGATCGACGAGAGGATGCGGGAGTGGTCGTGCCAGCGCCGCGTCAGGCTGTCCCACTTTTCGGGCGTCGAGACAATCAGCCGACACTTGCGCGCCGCCGCCAGCCCGGCAAACGAGTCTCCCTGCGCAGGAGACCGTGGACGCAGTCGAAGCAGCCAGGATTCAGCTTTACCCAAGCGGCCGAGGTAGATACGAACGGAACCACGGGCGTACCGTCAATTCAACCACCGGACAGTCCTGGTGCTGAAAGCGGCGGGTCCAGTCCTGGGTCTTTTCACTGCAGAGTGCCTTGGTGGGTGCCAGATAGACGGCCTTTAGTGCGTGAACGGTGGGCGGCAGGCACGATAGTAGGCGAGACTTCAGAGTGATCTGGCCGCTGGGTCAAGAGAGGCGCCCCTTGCACAACGAAGAAAAGGCCTTCGCCGCTCACCTTTGATTCCGGCGGACCGCTCTGCAGCATCCGAAGAATGGCCAGCTCAAAGATGACGGTCTTGCCTGAGCCTGTCGGCGCCGAAACGACAATGTGCTGGTCGCTGTGCAGTATCTAGCGAGCGAGCGAAGTCGGCGAGAGAAGCGATGGTCAGAGCTTGGCGCTCCGTGCCGTGTTCCTCTGGTCGTGCCATGCACCGCCCCTCACCGTCGGTAGGCAGGTAGACTGCATGGCATTGAACAGAGGAAAGGGAAACAGCGCCCTCACGCTGTCCGCTGTCCGGTGGGGACCATGGGGGACGTGAGATGAACCGTTGTCAAAGCGATAGCCTACGCCATGCTCATGGCATCCACTTCGCCACGTGTTGCCACTTACGTAAGGCCGATACGGGAAAGAGGCGCACGCCCGCCACTTCGGGCGTCTGCGGGACACGGCGAGCTTGGATGGCGGAAGGAGCAGAGACTGACGAGGCTGTGATCCTCGACGCGGTGGAGCCCGGCGTCTTGAACTGGCTGAACGTCGGCTCGACATCAGATTGCGGCGGCACCACGTCTATGGCGGAAAAGGCGATTTGCGATGCCGTCAGCCTGTGGAGATGCCGTGGTTCGCGGCAGCTCCGAGCTATCGCCGCGCCTCTTCCTCACCTTGCGCATGCTCTTCAGGATTCTGCCCTCTTTGCGCGTCGCGAAAGTCTAGGCCCAGCCTCCAGCTGGTGGCCGGTGCCTGGAGCAAACCCTCTGACGGTCGCCACGGATCCAATTGCAGTGGAGGCTTGGCAACTCGCGGCGGCACCTCTAGCGAGTACGGAGAGGCTGGCGCCATCTCTTGGCCAGTGTCGAGCCCGAGCGGGGAGACCGACGGAACGGCATCCTCGACCTCGAGGCCGCACTCGCGCGCGAGCTCGTCAAAGTCGAGGCCAGAAAGGCCGCCGGGTGCCTGCGTGCCGTCGAGATCGATGGCGAATGCTTGCGCCGCGGCATCGAAGTCGAATCCGGCGTCTTCTGCTGCGTCGAGGAAGGGCGGTGGAGGCAGCGGTCGCATCTGTGCGCTGAGAGATCCGGCAGGCCCAGTCCAGACGGGATGACCTGCGAGCTTGGAAGACGAGCGGGTGGTGGCTGGAAGGCAAGGTGCAGAACACGCCTAAAGCAACGGCTTGAGGCTCGTCGTCTGGACCGTGTCTACAGCCAGGCCTGTGCTAGCCTATGGCCCACCGGCCGTCTTGACGTAGGCGCAGTCGTAGCGAGGGCCGGACCGAGCCGTACTGGGCCCGAATGCCTCCATTGTGGCTGTGCGCCTGACCATGCATGGCGCTGCGTTTGCGTGGTCTCTCGTGGGGAGGCCAGGGGCTCGTCGAGGTGGTCAATCGCCGCCGCGTTGAGACCACGCCTTCGGATCACCTCCGCCCACGGCTACAATCCGAGGAGGTCAGGCGTGGCCGACCTGTCGGGCCTTCGGTTCCTCCGATGGCCCATCCTCACCCCTCGACGTATCTTCGGCGTGTCGTCCGGCCAGGTATCGCGTCCAGACGCGCGAGGAGTGCCAGGGTGGGAGGCCTCTGTGCACGACGAAGCTGCAAATATGCGGTGTGAGGCGAGCGATGCAGCAAGAGTGGTCGACATGCTATGAGGGCCGTGATGCTGGATCGCCTCCAGGCTTGCCCGACGGATCCAGCGACCAAAGTACGGCCAGCCCGAACGCCAGCGGATAAGAATATCAGGTTGCCGCCGGACATGGGCCTGCGCGGCAATTCTCAGCAGGCGAGAAGTGAGAGCCAGCATGCACATGACGGCAGCGCAGGCGAGCAGAGACGAGAAAGAGGCAGATGGATGCATGGTCGCAGAACACGACCCTCACACTGTACGGGAAGCTCCGGCTTCCATGCGCAAGCAGCATCAGCTTGCTGGCTTTCTTGCTTGCTCTCAATTGCTCCCAAGTACACCTGTAGTACACTCGGCTGGCGAATCGTCCGAGCGCCCTCCTGCCTAGCGTCGACGAGGGCCATGGCAGCCTACCTCCATGCTAGCGGCTGCGCCTACGCTCGAGCGTGCCCTGTCCAGAGCATGCATGGTAGCCGCGATGCCTTCAGCCCGGCCGGCAGCGAAGGCCCGATCGGGTACGTCGTCCAGGAAGCTTTGCGATAACTTGGTGGTGATGCAACTCTTGGCCAGACCGCGTCGAGGGCGGTCTGACCGACGCAAAAGGCAGGTCCTGGCATGCATATGTGCCAGCTCGCTCTGCGAGAGCCGCGCGCTTGGCAGGTCTAGGCCAGCGCGTTGGCACTTTGGCAGGCCTGGCAAGCGGGCCGGCAGAGGCCTACTGCCGCTCCTGCGCGGTTGGCCAGGGCCTGCCTGCTTGCCTCGCGGGACGCGGGTCGCGGGTCTTGCCTCTGACTTGCCTGCCTTGTTGGCCTGGCCTACCTGCATCTGGCCTCCCGCCTTTCATCTCTCGTCACCAGGCTCCACCCCCACCACTCTAACTACTCTCGCTGCGCCATCATCACCGTCACCGCTTCTTCCGAACGCCATCGCTATCGGTTCCGGCTACGCCAGTCTAGCGCTCGGTCCCGCCACACACTACCACCTGCTGCCGGCCCACGCCTAACCTCCAGCGTGCGGCTCTTTACGCGCCGCGCACGACGGACGACCTCGGCTGGACTGGAGCCATCCTGGCCAGGCCTGGCCGCCTAGCTTGGCCCTCGAAACACGCGCGCCGAGGCCGACTTCTATCCTCGCCACCGGCTTGCCTCCCCGCCTGGCCAACCCCCTGCTTCTGACCACGACTACGCCACCCATCCCGTCGAGCTGCTGCTTTTGACATCATCCCCTGCCGTTGTCACCTGCCGCTGCCTGCCATCTGCTAGGCTCGGCTCGGCTAGCCCCCGAGACCTCCACCACCGCCCTCCGTGTCGCCTTCGCTTTCTCCATCCTCGGACCGGCCCTGTGGGCGCCGACGATGCCGAGCGGCACACGATAGCGCAACCTCGACGCCTCTAGCCAGGGCCACCTGGCCGCCTGTGCCATCGTAGCCGCCGTGCTCTTGTCTCTGTCTTCGTCGTTGCATTCCTCCGGCCTCGCCTGTCATCCGCCCTCGCTCAAGCTTCGCCCCGGCGCAGTCCGTCGTCGATGGCACCCATGGTGGATTTCGGCATCCCCGCATCGCGCAGCTCGCCAGGCGCCTTCGGCGGCGGCGGCGGCGCCGGTCCGGTCTCATCGTCATCGTCCGGGCACGCATCATCGGCTGCGGCCGCTGCTGCCGGAATCGCCGCACCCGGCTCGCCCTCGGCAGCGCTGCCGCCATCGTCGGCGGCTTTCTCGTCGCAGCATGGGCTGGGCGCCGGGCCCAGCACCACGCGGCCTCTCTCCGACCAGATCGCTTCAAACTTCCCGCCCAGATCCACGCCGAGCATGGTAGTAGTGGCACCCAACGGACATGCTCCAGCTGGCATGCCAGATCTTCACACGACCGCGGCGAGCCTCGGCGGCGGTGGCGATAGCGGCAGCCCGGGTCGTTTGCTAGACCGGAGACCCAGCGTTCCGAGGATCAACACCGTCCGCCCGCCGCCACCAGTCGAGGCGGCTTCGCGCAACGCCCTCTTCTTCTCGCCCACCAGCGCTCGGCCTCCAGGGTCGCGTCATGCTCGCCACAGCTCTGGTTCGTCCCAGACCTTTGCCGCCTCTTCGTCCATCTCTGGCAGCATCGGCGGTGGAGGGGAAGGCGAGGCAGGTCCAGGCAGCAGCTTCTCTATGGCATCGCTTGACGATGCCGCCAATGCCTCGACGGCCACCGATGACGCTGCATTCATTGACGGCGGCGGCGGCATCGGGCAGGGGAGCAGCCGCTCGACGTATCCGGCCGACCAGAGCCTCGCCACGCCCGCATGCCAGCTGAGTTCGACTAGCTCGATCCGTAGCCGGCGCAACTGGGACGAGTTTGAGGGCAAGCCCGTCTCGCCACTGCCTAGCCCCGCAGTCATCGCCGACGACGATGCTGATCCCGAGGCTGGCAAGACGTCGATGTTCGACCGACTTCTCTCGGCGGGAGCCGGCGGCCAGAGCCAGTTCGACAGCGCCACCAACGCCGCCTCGCCGTCGTCGTCCATCGTTGGCTCCACCAGCGCTACAAGCACCGTCGATCCTGACACGCCTAGCAAGACGTCGGCCTTCTTTGGCGCCTCGTGGTCCACGTACCCGCGCGCACCCACCACCCTGCCTCCGCCTCCTTCACGGCGCGACCGGGTTGTCAGCTCATCCGACGCTGCAGATACCGGCAGTGACAGCAACGGCGCCACCGCCGCCAGCGGCAGCGGCGGATGGTCCAACCTTGCGCCATCTTTGCGAGCCATCTCGGCAGATCAGACCGCTCGAGGAGCAGCGGCGGCAGCGGTCAGACGCACAGGCCACGGGCCCAGCGGGCGGGATGGCCTCGATATCGAGCCTGGGACCAGCCGGGCAGCCGCTGCCGTGCCCGCTGCGAACGCACCTCGCACCAGCAACAGCGGTCCAAGCGACGAGCTTTCGCCACTCGCAGCTGCAGACGAACCACGTCGGCGGGGCGGGCGCTTCTCGCGGCATACCCACGGCCCCTCGGAGAATGCATCCGACGGCAGCCTGGCGCCCATCATCGGCACGACAGGCGCGCTGGCCCCGGACCCGTCGCGAACAAAGGATCCGTCGCCGAGCACGCCACGGCCAAAGTCGGCTTCGAGCAGCAGTGCCACTACCCTCACCGGCGCCACCGGCGCCACCGCTGCCAAGGAGCGGCGGAATGCCGAGGAAGTGGCTGAGGAAGACGAAGAGGGCGACATCGTCGGGCCGTACCGCAGTGAAAAGGTGCTCGGTGTGGGGGCGTTTAGCAAGGTCGTTCTCGGGCGCGCAGTCCGACCACGGCGAGGAGGAAGCGGCGGCAGGAGCACAACTGGCGCAGTGGTCCGCAACGGGACGCCGCCCGTCGACGAGCGGGTGGCGCTCAAGATGCTGGACCGCGAGCCGTGCAGCCAGAACGAGCGGCTCAAGGTGAGCTGGGTGCGCGAGGTTGAAGTGCTCAAGCACATCTCCCACCCCAACCTGGTCCGCTTCGTCGAGGCGTTCAGCACGCCGCTCCACCACACGCTGGTGCTCGAGCACGTGTCGGGCGGCGAGCTGTTTGAGCTGCTCGCGCAGCATCACGAGCGCATGGCGCAGCGCGAGTGGCTCGTCCGCCGGATCTTCTGCGAGCTGGCCAACGCCGTCGGCTGGATGCACAACGTCAATCTCGTTCACCGCGACATCAAGCTCGAGAGTAGGTATCTCGGGGCGGTTCCTCCTTGACCTCGCCGGTGATTGGCATGACGATGAACGTTTTGCTGACCTTCCGAGCCCTTTGCCCCATTCCTTGTCATGGTCGTGAATCTCCCAAATTGCTCCTCGCCACCATCAACAGATATCTTGCTGACGACGTCGCTGTTTCAGGCGACGGACCACGCGAGACCCGGCCTGCTGAAGCCGTCGCAGCTGCCGCAAGGCCCGCTGGTCAAGCTGACCGATTTTGGCCTGTCGCGCTTCATCGATCCGCAACAGCCGTCGCTCGAGACGCGATGCGGCTCGGAAGAGTATGCCGCGCCCGAGCTCATCATCGGCAAGCGATACGACGGGCGCAAGACGGATGCCTGGGCGCTCGGCGTGGTCCTCTACGCCATGCTGACGGGCAGCTTGCCCTTCCTCGATGACCTCGTCGACGGTGGTGCGGCAGGGGCGGCCCGAGCGGCTCCCGACCAAGGAGGTGAGGGCGGCGGCGGCGGCGGCCACCAGCACACCTTTTCGGCGTCGCGCGAAGGCAGCAGCGCCGACCGGGACGCCAAGCAGCGCAAGGCGCATCTGCTGCGCATTGCCAAGGGCGACCTTCGCTGG